CCACGCAGCGGGCACACAACGCAAACAAAGCACGGCGGCGATGGCCGGCAGCGTAAGCAGCATAAGTGAATGTCAGGGAATTAATTCACTTGAAGAGAGCGAGTGTGTCGAGAGAGAGAGTAGCGCTGGGAGAAAATACCCGCGGCATTAATGCGCCGATGCTCTGCCGCTTGTTACTCAACGCCTCCCCGCTCCGAGAAAATTGGATGCGCGGGGCTCTGCGTTGCGTGGCTCTTGATCTGTCCTCCGTCTCGCCGACTTTTGCGCTTAATCGGCCGGGGAGGCTCGGGCCCCCCATCCTCCCCATCGTACCCCCCCCCCCCACCAACCACCGCCCTCCCCATCCTTGGCTCCTCGGCTCCCCCGCCAGCGTCTGACATTTCCTGTCGAGTCATTCCGCTGGGGTGCGGTGCCGGTTCAGGGAGCCGAGCTTGGGGCGGGGGGGGGGGCATTGCTCATAAATTGGAGCGAGGATGCTGATCCTGGAGATTTCAAAACTGGCATTGCGTGTGCGTACGTGCGTACGTGCGCGTGTGTGTTCCCTGTCGCGTGCGAGCAGGGGGAGAGTGTGGCAGTAACTTGCCATTCATATGAGTGCAGGGGCGGACTCGTGCCGTAAATCCAGCAGGATGGTAATTTAGACGTTATTAGGACACGGGCGGTTACCTAACAACCCGCGTTATGCCATTATCCGCTTGGCTAATTAAATACGCGAGGTAGGATGGACTTAGCGAGCCTCTTGTGCCCCAATGTCCAGCGGTGCCTGAAAGGTTTTGTTCATTTTTAAAGTTTTTATTTTGTGGTTGGGGTGCGTGCTTCGTCATCTGAATACCCGTCGTGGGTAAATATGACGAATACCACTTTATGAGAAATCTGCAACATATGTTATATAGCTAGATTGACCCCCTGCCATCAGATTGTGGAATATCCATCGCTTACAGGAGTTGATCACTTCCCTGTGCATTGGGTGTAACATTGTGAATTCAGCCCGATCATGAAATACCGATCAGCTAATTACTATCACAAGATGCATCGAGTGTCGGAAACGTGCTATTTTGTTGCCTCTCCTCTGGCAAAAGGGTCACGTGCTTGGGATTGTGTGAGTGCTCATGTTGGGCAGTACTATGGTACCTGCACGCACTAGCTTTGCACGCGAGAGCGACACTGGCGCCTTTGACCATTATTAACGCATGTTTCAGACACGTTTGTACAACCTTGCAGTGGCTGTATACTTGGGCGCAGTGTCAACCAATTATGGCTTCCGTAATGCAGAGATATCTCATTTGTTACAATTTATTTGATATGGCAGCAATGCTCATACAATCTAACTGTGGTGTCGGACGTACCGAGATGAGCCGAGTTTTTCATCCACGCTGCGATGTGATGGTGACTTCACGTTCGTGCGTGTCCAAACCATTGACGTGTTCACTATAAGCAATCCATATTTTCTGAAACTATAAATGAATACCGTGTAAGTGACCACCCCAATATGTGTGCCGCGGATGACTGAGAATGTTTCAACTGTGGGGCTGCTTAATTTGTGGAACTGCCCCTCTCTTAAAAAGAGGACGCTGGCGCTGTGAGGCGGCACGGTGACCGGGCGAGTGTAAGAGATTGATGAGTGTGGGGCAGGGGTGGAGGAAGAGGAGGAAGAGAGGAGGAGTTTTAATGAGGAGCGTTGTGGTCGGTGGTGGGGCTGGGGGGGGGGGATAACGGAGGGGGTGAGAGGGTGTCCTACTTTATTATCGCAAAACTGTGGCCGGCTCATTCCAATTTCACAACGCGCATGCGCGGAGCGGCCGGTTATTTAAATTCTTGCCACAACAAGTTGCGTCGGACTGGCGGGTTCCGAGATCCGTGTTTAGTCGTCGCCGGTTCCATTCGATCTTCCGGTGCGGCAGTTGAAATACTGTATCGGTCCGCCCAGCGATATAATTGGGGACATCGCTGTGAGTCGACCTGCACGTCGTGTGTTGTTGGGTAAAGTGTGCGTAGAAAGTGTGCGTAGTGGCACCTCATTTGGTCAGTGTGGAACAGTAGGCCAAATACCCTCTAGAGATGCTCTACAGAACTAACCTCTCAGTGGAAGTCCTTCCACCAACAGTGGCGTGAGCAAGCATTTGCAGGGCTTCACCTTTACATTTACAATTAAAATGTGGACTTGTACAATGACTCCGTGTGGCCCCATCTCAAGATGCTGCACAGTAATGCGGAACGTACTGACTTCATGAAGAGGCAGCCAGTCATCGGCAGAGGAGAAGAGGGCGTTCTTGAGCTGATAGCACGGGTGACTAGGGGAATAGAGTTTCAGACTGGGAAAAGCAGAGAAAATGGGCAATCTCCCACTGTTTGTCTTGTGAAACTGTGTGTATAATTTAAGAGCAGGCATATTGAGTCAGTTAAGTCATGATGCACTTTGTGATGCGATTCATCCACAACACTTTGCTTGGGATATTTTCAATCAAGATTCGATAACAAATCAATGTAAGTAGCTAAAGCATGTCATCCGCTAAACCAAGGTGCAGTCTTGTAACACGTCTTGGTATCCGCTTCTGTGCGCCACGTCTCTTACAGAAAGGGCCGAAGCGGCTCTGCGAAAGATTCCAACAGATAGTCTGTCTCACGACGCGATTCGTATGAACTTAGAGGAAATTACAAAATAATAATAAGTGATAATAATACATTTTAATAAATCAGTGCCAGTAATTTAATATGCGCAGCCGTCACACGAAGATACGCGTTCGTCGTGCGCGGTGAATACTAACGCAGTTCAGAACAGCGTAATGCAGAGACGCGATGGAGGTCTCTTTTGAGGTGAGCACTGTGGCCGAGAATGCTGCCTGCAGGAGATGCTGCCTCGGTTCGCACTAAATTGCCGGCTGCTCTTTTGAGGCTCGGATAGCGTTGGTGGCTCAGAAAAGCGTCCGCGCACCATCAAATCATTGTAATTTCTCCGGGCGAAGCCCACTTCTGTAATGGGTTCTGGTAAACAAGATATCGGTAAGCTGCAGAAATGTGACATTTCAGAAAAATCTCTTATCTGCTTACTGGACCTAATCTGTAATTTAAAACCTGCAATAGCGTGCACTTTTGAAAGTGTTGCTCACAGATAAAAGTGTTGCCTTGTGCGTGAAAGAATATTCTTGGCAGCACAATCTTTCCTTGCGTTGATAATAGTGCTCAAAAGAGTTGCTCATGAGCTAGAACAGTAACAGCAGGCACGGACGCTTGGGGTTAATGTTATACTGTTATTATTAATACGCGAGTCTGCGTGGTTTCTCCTCGCTCTGGTGCATTGCCTTCACTTTACAGAGAGCGTCCTTTATATTTTGGAACCAAGTGCAATCTTGCGCCCGATGCATGGGGTTCGCCCGTCTCGCAGTGGCATTTCCTCAAGGCGAAGGTGCATGACCCGATCTTTACGGAATATTCTAAGGATTGTCGTCTTTTGTTGGACAGCGCGCCACAATAGCGGCCGCGGTGATATTGATGAGGTCTGCTCCGAACACGAGCACCCATCGCTCCCGCACCTCTTGGGCACTCTCGGGAAAGATCGTGACATTTTTGTCTTTGGAAAAAAGCACATTAACGTGACATCTGGCGTGAAGGAAAAGCTGCTGCTTGGCGTCTCAATGTGTAAAATCAAGTGGCCGCAATGGAACAAGCCCCACGTCGCTCACTCACTCGCTACAAGAGCTGATACATCGGGAATAAGAGGGCTTGGAGGATAATACACCACTCGGTGGCTTGTAATTTTAAATTCCGTGTAAATTATTTGAAAAAGGAATGCAAATCGGCCGTCACCGTCCACCCGGTGTTGGAAGCAAGTCATGCGAGACCGTTGCGATGATGTCTAATCAAGTGTTTCTGCCATGCGTCATGTGTTCAGTATCACGAAGGGTGTTTGCTGGCTTAAAGAGGTTTTGTTTGTCGAGAGAACAACTCGTGCAGTCCCTCCTCTTTTTAATATTGCATGGCCATTTTAGAGCTGTACATATGAGACATTATTAAATGTGATGGCAATAGCAGAATTAATTTGGCCCTGGAGCGACGAGGAGAGGTTGCACGGGGCACAGTTACATTAGCAGCCTTCATCCAGAGGTTTGGAAAGAGATTTAAAATCGCATCTGCTGCGGAATGTGTCGGTGACTCATCATGGGGAGAGAGATCCTGTCATTGCACGTCTTCACGGTGTGCTTGGCAGCCCCATCACAATAGTTGCGAATTCATGTATTTGCCCGTGTGATGTTGAGACGTTTGGACACTGGCGTCACCTCCTAGGCTCGTGAGACACGGAGTGGTGAACGACAGCACAGAGGGTTCGTGTGAGCAGCCCCGCTGGCTGCTCACCAGATAAAGGTTCCCCGCATAGCCCACGCAGACTTTAAGGGTAAGTGCTATTAGTGAGCACCTATGAAAGACAGTGTGGCTCATGAGGGGGTGGTATTGTAGGCTTTATCATGCCCGATCGGCCGTCTTTGTCTCTCTAGTGGTGATATGTACAAACTTCACCATGGACTGAGTTGACTACAGGAACCCTTGGACTGATTCAGATATTCACCACCGATGTCGGCCACGGGCAAGGATTCACTTTGGCTACCTGCTTTGTGGCGCAGTGCCACAACCACTGCACCACCGCTCCCCACCTAACCCACCATCTCGCTCTGCGAGCGGGCAGTGCAGCTCCCGTGGGGCGGTGACCTCAATCGAGAGCAGAGCCACGCTGACCCCAGCGCAGGCCGAGCCGGCTGCACCTCGCCTCCCGTAGCGTTCGCTCGTGGTGAGAGCGAGCACGGGTGACCACGACAGCTGTAGCTCGTCAGCTTCTCGGTCGTGCGGAACGCGGCGGCACGGGAAGCCAGGGCAGCGTTGCCCCGCTTCCCCGTGTGGGCCTGCGTTGGATTATTATCGTTATTATTATTATTGTTGAGATTATAATTAGTATTATTTGGATGTGGCAGGTTCTGTTTGCTCATGGACGTCCGGGTTCTGTCCCACAGGATCGAGTAGGTGCCGTATCACGGAGCCGTTCCCAGCGTGCGGGTTCGTGCAGGACAAGGACGATGACTTTGACTGGGAGCAGCTGAGTGGCGCGGAGGCGTCGCGACCTGGACTGCAGCCTCCTGCAGGTGGCCACACAGCAGCCAGCACAGCCGCACGCTCCGCACAGCGCCACGCTCCGCATACTACCAACAGCCGCATGTTCTCCGCAGCGACAATCTGCACAGCTACACACCGAGCACAGCCATCACAGCCACTCACTCAGTTACATCATAACTTATATTAAAACTGTAAATTATTTTGTCAAGTGGGAGAAGAGTAGAGGTCCAATGAACGTTGTGGGACACCAAAGCAAAGGGTTTCTGAGAGGGGAGACCTCTCTCTATCCCTGCTCACTCACGACGTGTACCTTCGCTCACTACAATCTCCACTCGCTCACAAGAGCAGGCTATTCACTGACCATTAGTATACAGGCTGACTCGTCATCAGTATCTCCACTCGCCCACTACTCAACGTCAGCGTGCCAAGTCGCCACCAGCACTTCCACTCACTCACCACCAATGCATGCTCCTGCTCACTGCCAGGAAACTCATCTCACTGTCAGCTCGCACTCCAGATCATTCGTCTCCTCGCCGCACTGCCGGCAAGTCTACTCTCTCCATCAGTAGGATGTCCACTCACCCTGTTGCTCATCTACCACCCAACCTGCCATCCCACCCAGCTTCAAGACCCACTTCTCGGCCTCCTACCTAACTACTTAATCCAGACTCTAGGATAATACTTTTCATATCAACATTTTCTTTTCAATTCATCTCCAGAGTGTCGCCTGTTCTTTTTTCTTGCTGTCACATTTTGGGATCACCGTGGCTCTGGCAAGCTGCTGCCGGCCACGAGCCATGGGGATTGGGAGCAGACGAACGTGGCTGAAAACGAGAGGCGACGTCCTCGCGGCTCCGTTATGAGAAAGATTGATGGCACCGCCACTGTGATATTGGAACGGCGGACAATTTGCATGCCAGCAGCCGCTAAAGAGACTGCCGGGCGTGGGGCGTACGGCGTGCGAACGGCGTTGTGGGTGGTGTACGCGACGATCAGTTCACCGGCCGACGTGTGAATCGTGGTGACCCCAGACCGAGACCTTGCTGGAGTGGGGGGGGGGGGGGGGGGGGGGGGGGGTTGGTGGGCGGCACGATGTGGTCAATGCACGGTTTCCTCCGGGCTCTTCGGTTTCTCACATTGCTAAAAAAAAACCCCGCACACAATGTAGCTGGGTATTGGTCAAACAACCCAATGCTAAAAATAATTACCTACAAATTACTCAATAGTGATTACACACAGCAGTAACATTCCCTGCGACTGCAAAAACTGGACAGGACCCTCTTAAGTAAGTGTCTGAGATTCGGTGAGGCCTCCTTGGGTAAACGTGCGTGATGATGATAATAATAACGGTGTTAGACTTTAAAGAAATATTAAACTCTAAACAGAACAAGGAACGATACGATCATCTATTATCTGTCAAGCATTCGGCTCGAGCGCTCACCCCATATGTAGATAACGAAAGGCCGTGACACCCATTGCCTCATTCAGAAGTGGGGCTGAGCCCTCAGCCAGGGGGCTCGGCCCCCCACAGCACGCCCGACGCTGCAGGGCTGCCGTGTCGATATCGGAGTGGTGAGATGCCCTCTGCTCTGCGACGTTCGCCGCGCGACCTTGTGCCCCCACGGATGCTTTACCGGAGCGCTTTCTACATCCGTGCCGTGTGACCGGGATCCCAGCTCTTAGGATATCTGGCGGTCGCTGTGGCGATTGAGATGGGGACTGCTGGGTCGTCGTCAATCACAAGACAGCCGAGCTGCGGGCGCCGAGAGCGTGCGTCGAGGTTTCAAATGAAAACAAAAAAACACAAAACAAACATGGTGTGCTCTTCCCCGCAGTGCAGCTGTGCTGCCGTAATAATTAAGGGCCCATATGCTTATCTGAATCTGTCATTGTCAAGAAATTTGCATAAGATATTAATTAGTCTGCTGGATTTTGCTAAGTGATTCATAGAGATGCAAGCTGCCGCTTGTCCACGCGAGATTCTTGTGGCACGTGATGGAGCATTTGTTAATAAATGATAACCCTAAAAATGTAATTTGTGAAAGTAATTGGCCTCATTACATGAAAAAAACCCCTCTTATACCTCATTAAATAATTGAGCAATTGTATTTGCTTAAAGGATCGCATGCCAGATAATATTCCTACTTCACTATCATCCGAGCCATAAGTTGCTCACGATTCCACCTCTTTCCTTAATTAGGAATGCTGCCACCTTCTCTAATTACAATGAATTGACGTGGCATCGAGGGGACTATCATAGAAGTCGAGTCGACTTCTCCTTGAGAGGACTCTCTTCTACAGCAGACCCCTCGCGATCTCAACAAAAATCTGCACCCCACCTCCCTCACGATCTCAACGAGAATTCGTCGTCCACCTCCCTGCAGCCCCCCGACTTGCGGGTATCACATATCGCGATGAGGAGCCGCCGTCCGCCTCTTGTACCCCGGTGGCGCGTGTGGAACAGCGGCGCCGCTCTCCCAGCTACCGCGTTTCCACAAAGCGCTTTCTGGGTGCTCGACGCTCTTGGGACAGCAAGAGAGGAACGGTCAAGGGTGCGCGGTTTGCTCCCCAGAGTGTTCCTCAAATCAGACGAGTGCCGAGCGCGCCGCTCCGCTAAACCTGGCGCGAGACGAGCCCCGCTGCTCGCGTTAATGAGTCGTCACAGCCGGGCGGTGATGGACAATCAGGAGCCGCTCCGAGCGAGTCGTGTGGCCCCATGGGCCCCCTCCCTCAGCCTCCTAATGACGTCCTACCTGCCCCGGTGCTCTAATTAGAATAATTAATAACGGAAGGCGGCGCAACAAAAATAAGAGACAAGAGTCGCTTGAGTCCGTGTGGGTTCTGGATGCCGACCTTCGCTTTACTCGTCGGTGTCAAGCAGCGACCGTTTGGCGACATCTCGCGTGCCTCGATTTCTCGTCATCCTCGCTGGGGGCTTTTGTTTTTGGTGGTGGGGGGGGGTTGTATTTTTACGCGGTTGTGATTTATGGCCCACGTTAAAGCACAAACGCAATCGTCAATCCCGTAGCGCTTTTCCGGCGCAATGTGTTACCGCTGCGAGATTTCACGGCTGCCACGCGGCTGAATGTCTGACGTGCGCGATTGATGCGGGACCCGGGATCTGGCGGCACTGACGGATGAGCGGCACCGCCGCTCGCGAGCGCGCCGGAGCGAGCCACGCACGCACGCACGCATCCGCCGACAAATTGAAGTGACCCTTACCCTTTATTAGAAAAACACGGCGCTGGCTCCGTGCATCCTTCTCAAACATTTATTTTAAAAAGTGAAAGTTTGAGTGCCGCCTGTGCCCCCTTGTTCCAGCAAAACCCATCATATGGGTGGGATGGTACAAAATAAATACATCGGAAAGCGTCGCTTCCCATTATAATCGCAGGCCTGGCTGCTGGGCGCATGCTGTTGCCTCTCATGTGAATCACAGCTTTGCGAAGTCCTGCGAGAAGTTTCAGCAAATTAACGTGATATCTTTAACAAGAGAAATGTAACGGTTGTCTTGCATGGAGGTCGACAGATTCAACTTTACTTCAAAGTGAGACCATGAGTAATAGAGCTGTAGCCGCAATGCTTAGTTTGGAATAAGATCGAAACTTTTTGCCTACTTGCCCATTGCGAATGAAGACCATTAGCTTTGTTCCTGTTTTCAAGATACATGTGGAGTGTTTTTATTTCATGCGGACAGCTTATTTTTCTCCTGTCTCGCTTTTTATTGAACAGAACTCCTCGCGTTCGACACCACCCCGTAACCCCGTCGTGATTTTCCTGCTTGCGTTGCTCGCCTGCTTCGCTCGCTCTCCTTGCCTCTCCACTGCTAGCCTGTTCTCTCTCTCACTCTCCTAGCCTCTCCACTGCTAGCCTGTTCTCTCTCTCTCTCGCTCTCCTGGCTTTTCCACTGCTAGCCTGCTCTCTCTCTCTCTCGTTCTCCTGGCCTCTCTACTGCTAGCCTGCTCTCTCGCTCTCCTGACCTCTCTACTGCTAGCCTGCTTCGTTTACACTCTCCTAGCCTCTCGACTGCTAACCTGCCTGCCACGCTCCACTCCGCACTCTGATAGCGTCTCCACTGCTAGTCTCTCCACTGCTAGCCTATTACTATACACTCTGGTAGCTTCCCACCGTACGCCCTGCTAGTCTCTCCACTGCTAGCCTATTACTAAACACTCGGGTAGCTTCTCCACTGCCAGCATCTCCCCATCTCTTCTGCTAGCTTATCTACTGCTAGCCTACCGACACATACTCCGCTAGCTTCTCTACTGCTAGCCTACCGCCACATACTCTGCTAGCTTCTCTACTGCTAGCCTACCGCCACATACTCTGCTAGCTTCTCTACTGCTAACCTACCGCCACATACTCCGCTAGCTTCTCTACTGCTAGCTTCTCTACTGCTAACTTCGCACGCTCACACTTAGTATTCCGCTAGCTTCTCTACTGCTAACTTATCACACTTAGGATTCCGCTAGCTTCTCTACTGCTAGCTTCTCTACTGCTAGCCTTTCTCCCCTCGCCTCTCCAACCTCGCCCTTGCCCCCAGTGGCGGTTCAGCCATCACCGCTGGAGAGGGCCAGGTGTGGCGAGCGGGGCCTGGGACTCCTCTCGTCTTTCCTCTTGTCTTCACTCCGACCAACTCAACTCCCTCTCTCTCACGCTCCCGTGTATATCCCCCTCTTCATTAACTCCTCATTAATGATGCTGGCGACCCCCGTCGCCTCACGCCAGCGGCTTCTGCCGCTATCGCCTCAATCTCCCGCAACCTGGCGCCTGTTCCCCGCCTGCATTTGCAGCCAGCCATTCGCTGCCATGCATCTTCATTGGCCGTCTCCTCGCCGTTACGCTCTCTCGCCGCACCTGGTTGCGACCTCACTGCCCGTAACTCGCACGTGCGTGCACCCCGCTTGCAAACCCCCGCGCACTACTCCACTACGCATGTAGAAGCATGCAAGCTGGCAGTGCGTGCCACACTCTAGCGAGTTCAAATGTCGGTCAGAGGTCGACTGGGCCGCTAATCATCGTCGCTTTT